AAACCGGGATAAGCTGGAGGCCAAGGAAAAGCCTGGATGCACAAATGAAGGAGATGGTGTGGGATGGATTTGGGTGGGAAACTGGGAAAAACTGGGAAAAGAACAGAGACAGCACCCCAGGCAAAACCCAGGACCACAAACCACGGAAAAAGATAGGATTTGAGGTTGGAATGGCTCATCCCAAACCCACCACAAATGAAGGATTTGGGGCAGGAACAGCTCATCACAAACCAAGGAAAACCCCAGGATTTGGGGCAGGAACGGCTCATCCCAAACCCACCACAAATGAAGGATTTGGGGCAGGAACAGCTCATCCCAAACCCACCACAAACCAAGGAAAACCCCAGGATTTGGGGCAGGAACGGCTCATTCCAAACCCACCAGAAACTGAGGAAAAAGATAGGATTTGAGGTCGGAATGGCTCATCCCAAACCCAACACAAATGAAGGATTTGGGGCAGGAATGGCTCATCCCAAACCCATCACAAATGAAGGATTTGGGGCAGGAATGGCTCATCCCAAACCCATCACAAACCAAGGATTTGGGGCAGGAATGGCTCATCACAAACCAAGGAAAACCCCAGGATTTGGGGCAGGAATGGCTCATCCCAAACCCACCACAAACCCAGGATTTGGGGCAGGAACGTCTCATCCCAAACCCACCACAAATGAAGGATTTGGGGCAGCAACGTCTCATCCCAACGCCCCCCCATCCCCACCCACCTCTCCGGGCACCGGCCGCCACTGGATGCCGCCGGTGCCGGTGACCAGGACGTGGTGAGTGACCGGACAGTCCCCGGGGATCAGCGGCTGCTCCGGCTCCGCGCGGCCCCCGTTGGCGCAGGCCGGGCCCCTCTCGCCCTCGGCCGCCGTTTCCAGCGCCAGCACCGGGAAGAGCTCGCTGCCGAAGCGCGGAGCCAGCTGCTCCAGGGTGGCCAGGTACTTGTACATCACGTCCCGCTCCGTCAGGCTGCCGGCGGCCACCGTGTGCCGCTGGAAGCGCCGCAGGAAGCGGCGGAAGACGTTCTTCATCCGGAACCGGGTCAGGAAGTTGTTCTGCTGGATCTGGCGGCGGAAGGAGCGCGGGATGCAGTCCTTGAAGCTGCCACAGAAAGGGGGAATTGTTGGGAAGAGGTGCAGGAAGAGCTTGGGGTGCAACGGAGAAACCGCGGAAAATGAGGGGGGAAAAAACAGTGAAAAAGGAGAGAAAACCCCCTTGGAAAAGCAGGAATTGTACCTGTACTTCCTGGCCACTTCCTCCAGGGAAATGCCCTTTTTGATGGCGATGTGGGAGAGGTGCAGCACAGCCATGCCCAAGCTCTCGTTCTTGAACTTCTGCATTTCTGGCTCGCTCTGGAAATCCTTCAGGGAGGCGACGTCGTTGATGAATTCGAATTTTCCCTGTCAGATGTGAAATAACTACGACTGAAACTCAGCCCCGAGGTGATTTCCAGAAGGATTTTCCTCGTGTTTTCCGATTTAAAAGGTGGGACCACGAGTAAAAACCTCTTAAAAGGGAAAATTATCCCCTGGAATTACAGAATCCTATCCAGCTCCAGTCCCAGCAGGATAAAACCTTTCCAAAGGGAAAACTCAGGGGGGTTTTTACCCTTAAACAACCCCCCGGATCCTGAGCCAAATCCGGCCGGATTGAGGAACACGATCCCGTTTTTCCCCGAATCCTGCCCCGTTACCTGCTCAAAGAGGTACTCGAAGGAGGATCTGTCCAGCAAAGCCCCCCCGGGAGGTTTCTCCTCGGGAGAATCCCCCGCGCGCGGCGCGTTCCGGAAAACCGCCGGCTCCTTGTCGTTCATGCCGTGCCAGTTCCGGAAATAAAACCTGGAACGGGGAGAGGACGGGAGGAGAGGAGCTGGCCCCGTGCTGGGAGCCACATTCCGGCCTCAAATCAGGGCATTTTGGGGTTTTTCAAGGAATAAAACTCCTGGGAACCACAGGGAGAAACAGCCACGTGCTTAAAAAAATTGGGATTTGGGCAGAGGGAATGGATCCGAGCTGGGGATGAAGGGCAGCAGCCTCTTCCTGGAACATTTAAAGCTTTCCCCATCTTGTTTTTCCATGGACCCCCTGTTGATCCCAAAAACCTCCGTGAGGGACGCTGGCGAGGAGGGCAGAGGGATTTTGGGAAGAAAGAAGCGGATTTTTCCACGCTGAAATCCATCATTTCCCTCCTTCAACTGGGAGCAGTTTTTCCAAGGAAAGCCGGCTCGGGAGAGGCCTCACCTCATCCTGAAGATCAGGTTGATGCTGGTGTCCTTCCCGATGTGGAACTGGTGGTTGGGCGGGAGCCAGATCCGGCTCTGGGGGTCGTAGAGGGCGAAGAGGCTGTAGCAGAGTGGGGTAATTCCTGCCAGGAGTGGGGAAAGGCAGCTGGGACCAGGGGTTTGCTCCCAAAACCACTGAAATTCCAGAGGGTTTGTTCCCAAAAAACTGAAATTCCAGGGGTTTGCTCCCAAAAACACTGGAATTCCAGGGATTTGTTCCCAAAAACACTGAAATTCCAGGGGTTTGCTCCCACAAAACTGAAATTCCAGGGGGTTTGCTCCCAAAAACACTGAAATTCCAGGGGGTTTGCTCCCAAAAACACTGGAATTCCAGGGGTTTGTTCCCAAAAACACTGAAATTCCAGGGGTTTGCTCCCAAACACTGAAATTCCAGGGGTTTGCTCCCACAAAACTGAAATTCCAGGGGGTTTGCTCCCAAAAAACTGAAACTCGGCTGGCTTCGTTTTATTCCCAAAAAACCAGAAAACTGGGATTTTCTCAGCCTTGGGAAGGAATCCAGTTGGGATCTGGCGTTTCCTGGGAGTGTCTGCTGCTTTCCTTGCTGTTCCCCGGGAATTCCTGGTGCTTTTCCCTGGTGATTTCCCTGGGAATTCCTGATCTTGTCCCTGGTGATTTCCCTGGGAATTCCTGACGCTTTCCCCGGGAATTCCTGATCTTGTCCCTGGTGTTTTCCCTGGACATTCCCACTGTTTTCCCTGGGAATTCCTGCTGCTTTCCCTGGTGTTTTCCCTGGGAATTCCTGACGCTTTCCCTGGTGTTTTCCCCGGGAATTCCTGATGCTGTCCCTGGTGTTTTCCCTGGACATTCCCACTGTTTTCCCTGGGAATTCCTGCTGCTTTCCCTGGTGTTTTCCCTGGGAATTCCTGACGCTTTCCCTGGTGTTTTCCCCGGGAATTCCTGATGCTGTCCCTGGTGTTTTCCCTGGACATTCCCACTGTTTTCCCTGGGAATTCCTCATCCTCAGGTGTCACACAGCAGGACCCGCCCTTCCCCAGCCACCCTGAAGTCCCTCTCCCTCCTGTGTCCCCATGTCCCCCTTGTCCCATGTCCCTGTGTCCCCATGTCCCTGTCCCTGTCCCTGTCCGTGTGTCCCCCTGTCCGTGTGTCCCCCTGTCCCCGTCCCTGTCCGTGTCGCACCGATGCCGCGGGCCAGGTCGATGCAGATCTCCTCGGCGCTCAGGGAGCCGCGGCCGTAGACGCGGCAGCGCTCGCGCTCCTCGTCGCCGCTCCAGTGCAGCAGCACCTTCAGCCCGCAGCCCGCGGGGAAGCCGCAGCCCTCGGGCTCGGCCGCGGCACCGCGCCGGCACAGGGGCATGGCGGAGCTCTGGGGGGAAAACAGGGATTTGTGTCCACAAACGGCATTGCAGCGGGATTGTAACCAAAAAAAGGGCATTGCAACGGGATTGTAACACAAAAACGGCCTTAATGAAGGGATTTGTGTCCACAAACGGCATTGCAGCGGGATTGTAACCAAAAAAAGGGCATTGCAGCGGGATCTGGGCGCTCCTCGTCGCCGCTCCAGTGCAGCAGCACCTTCAGCCCGCAGCCCGCGGGGAAGCCGCAGCCCTCGGGCTCGGCCGCGGCGCGCCGGCACAGGGGCATGGCGGAGCTCTGGGGGGAAAACAGGGATTTGTGTCCACAAACGGCATTTCGATGGGATTTTAACAAAAAAAGGGCATTGCAATGGGATCTGGGCCCAAAAACGGCCTTAATGAAGGGATTTGTGTCCACAAACGGCATTGCAGCGGGATTGTAACCAAAAAAAGGGCATTGCAGCGGGATCTGGGCCCAAAAACGGCGTTCATGAAGGGATGTGGGCCCAAAACCAGCATTGCAATGGGATCTGGGCCCAAAAACGGCATTGCAGCGGGATTGTAACCAAAAAAAGGGCATTGCAGCGGGATTGTAACACAAAAACGGCATTGCAACGGGATCTGGGCCCAAAAATGGGGTTCCAATGGGATCTGGGCCCAAAAACGGCATTAATGAAGGGATTTTATCACAAAAATGGCATTAATGAAGGGATTTTAACACAAAAACGGCGTTAATGAAGGGATCTGGGCCCAAAAATGGGGTTCCAATGGGATTTGGACCCAAAACCGGCGTTAATGAAGGGATTTTAACACAAAAACGGCGTTAATGAGGGGATTTGGGCCCAAAAACGGCGTTAATGAAGGGATCTGGGCCCAAAACCGGCATTTCAATGGGATTTTAACCCAAAAATGGCGTTTCAACGGGATTTGGGACCAAAAACGGCTCAAAAATTTTGACCCGTTTTAGGGTGCATTTTTGACCTGTTTCACGGTGAATTTTTGACCCGTTTCAGGGTGCATTTTTGACCCGTTTTAGGTGCATTTTTTACCAATTTCAGGGTGCATTTTTGACCCATTTTAGGGTGCATTTTTGACCCGTTTCAGGGTGCATTTTGACCCATTTTAGGGTGCATTTTTGACCCGTTTCAGGGTGCATTTTGACCCGTTTTGGGTGCATTTTTGACCCGTTTCAGGGTGAATTTTGACCCGTTTCAGGGTGAATTTTGACCCGTTTTCCGCTGCATTCTTGACCCACTTCAAGACAAAACCTTAACCCATTTCAGAGTTAGATTTTGCCCCACTTCCAGATGAAATTTTGACCCGTTTTGGGCTGGATTTTGACCATTTCTGCCCCTCAGAGCGCACCCCCCCCCCGCCCCCGTTGGTTTTTTGCGGGTTTTTTTTGACCTTTTCTGCCTTTTTTTGGGCCCCCTCAGGCCTTGGGCTGCTCCTGGGCGCCGCTGTCCCCCTGCGGCTGCTCCCCAGCCCCGTCCTTGGCGTTGGGCACCCAGAGCCCCGAGTCGATGCAGCGCTGCATGTGGTACTTGGCCTCCTGCAAGGGGGTTGGGGGGGTTTGGGGGGGTTCTGAGGGGTCTG